TGCGCTCAGCTGAACGCACAACCCTCTGTAGAGCTCGTCTGTCCTGCATGGTGCTGTTCCCGAACCAGGTTAAGATGTTTCCCGTCAGGATGCTCTCTATGGTGCAGGAGTAAAAGTTCCTGAGCACCTTGGAGGGCAGTTGGAAGTCTCTCAAGCGTCTGAGGTGGTAGAGACGCTGTCGGGCCTTTTTCACCACGGTGTTGATGTGACAGGACCATGACAGGTCCTGCGTGATGTGAACTCCGAGGTATTTGAAGCTGTCCACTCTCTCCACTGGGCACTCGTTGATGACGGGGGTCTGGTAGTTCCTCTCCTGCTTAGCGCTGAAGTCCACTATCAACTCCTTTGTCTTACTGACGTTTAGAAGGAGGTTGTTCCTCTGGCACCAGTTCTCCAGATTCCTAATCTCCTTCAGGTAGGGCGTCTCGTTGTTGTCAGAGATCAGGCCCACCACGACGGTGTCGTCAGCAAACTTGATGATGGTGGTGGAGCTGGTAGTGGCCACGCAGTCATATGTGTACAAAGAGTACAGCAGGGGCCCCAGAACACACCCCTGGGGGGCTCCAGTGCTGAGAGGTGTGTTCTGAGCCCCCTGCTGTACTCTTTGTACGCATATGTACACATATGTTTTAGCTAGCAAAGCGGCGTGGCTAATGTGGAGTGAAGCCACGTTAATGACAACGTGGAGATGTGAGCAGGACAGACGGAACAATTGACGGGAAAAGTGTGGACTTTATACCAGTTTTTAAATTGTGTTGATAGGCCACGTAAAACCAGAGTTATGATAAAAATATATGCAATGTTTGGTTTTCTTCCTGAATACTATTGTTGTTTATATTTACTGCGGGAAGAAACGGTAAAAACTGCGTTTTATAAGGAAAACGCTCGAAAGCCTGTGAGCAAAAACAAAAACAAAAACAAAAACATGGAGGAAGTGGAAAGAAAGGCTCTTGGCTCTTTTAAAGGGAGAGTACCCAGCCACTGGTACAGATATATAGACGACACCTGGGTCAAAATCAAAACACAAGAAGTGGAATCCTTCACTGTGCACATTAACGCTGTGGATAAAAACATCAAGTTCACCAGGGAAGACACAAAGGATAACTGTTTGCCTTTCCTGGACTGCGCTGTGCACATTGAAGAGAATGGCAACCTCAACATTGAAGTTTACCAGAAGCCCACACACACGGACCAGTACCTCCTCTTTGACTCCCATCACCCTCTGGAACACAAACTTGGGGTAATCAGGACCCTACACCACCGGGCAGAACATGTTCCCTCTAAGCCTGAAGGAAAAAAGAAGGAACACACACATGTAAAGGAAGCACTTAAAACATGCGGTTATCCTAATTGGGCGTTTATAAAGTCAGCAAAGATGCACAGAAAAGAAGATCAGACACCAGCGAGGGAGGATAAGAAAGACAGACGCAACAACATTGTCATCCCCTATGTAGCCAGTGTATCAGAGAAACTCAGGAGGGTTTTCTCCAAGCATGACATCCCAGTGTACTTCAGACCCAGCAACACGCTCAGACAAAAACTGGTTCACCCGAAAAACAAAACTCCAAAACACAAACTTAACAACGTGGTGTATGCTGTACAGTGCAGCGAGGAATGCCCAGACCTCTACATTGGAGAGACCAAACAGCCACTTCACAAGCGCATGGCACAACATAGAAGAGCCACCTCCATGGGACAAGACTCAGCTGTCCATCTGCATCTTAATGTCAAAGGTCACTCTTTCGAGGATGCCAACGTTCACATTTTGGACAGAGAGGACAGATGGTTTGAAAGAGGAGTGAAAGAAGCCATTTACGTCCATCTTTGAACAGAGGCGGTGGTTTACGACAACAACTCTCTGCCATCTATAATCCAGTTTTGAGATCCCTCCCTAGGCGCCTTAATGCCCACTCACATCCTGGGCCATCTGACCTCAGGAAATCACATGATAGCGTGGGGCCAGGTTTCACAATGAGCTCACCCGAAACCCTGGCTGATTGTGACCCACACCCGCTTTCACACCTTGGCTCATGTGATTAGGTACAGGATCATCAGGGGGTCCTTTGTCCCTTCATTGTTAAACATGATTATGTTCTAAATAAAGTTCTGATCATGATTCCTCATAAAAGGACTTTCTTGAATATCAATGGGGCGCAGTGTTTTAACGTGTTTGGTCTTCGTCCACCTTTCTGTGTTCCTGCAGGAGTTTGTGGAGAGCAGCCGGCGGTTGGAGCGTGCTGTGGAACGTGGGCGGAGTCGGGTGAAGGAAGTGGCATCAGAAGGGGCGGAGATCAAGCCCATGGTGAGTGACAATGACACCAGAGGGGGCGTGGTCAGGCAGAAGAACTCGTTGGAGGAGGCATCGGTGGGTCCAGACTGGGGTGGTGACGGGGAGTGGGAGGAGCATCAGGAATTCCAGGTGTACTACCTGTTGGTGGGGGTGCTGGTGGACTGGATGCTGATGGAGCAGAGCGACTTTGTCCTCTGTCTCAGCGAGGACGTCGTCCTCTTCCTCTGTGTCTACCTGCCCACCTCCACTCTCTTCCTGTTTGTCAGCCTGCTGAACACGCCAAACCCCGCCCCCTCTGCCCATTCACATGTTAAATCAGCCGCCGTAAACACTGTGTGCTAACCTATACATGCTAACTGATGCATGTGGTGACTCAAGCATGCTGACTGGATGGCCCACTGACGCATGCTAGCCAAACCCATTTACACCGCCGCCATCATCACCATCATCATCATGCTGGCTGCTTCCTCAGAGACTAAACTCCTACTGACTTTTTGTTTGTAATCTATTTATTTTTTACTTTTGTAATTTTTATATTTGAAATATATTTTTTTTATAAATGTGTTGATGTTTTGTTGCTGTTTGAGTGAACTTCTGTTCAGCCTTATTTTCTCACTGTGGTGCTTTAAACGAGAAGAAGGACTCAGCAGATGGTAAGCTGCAGCTTCAGGTTCATGGTTCAGTCTCAGGCTCCCTGTATGCTTCTGTGATTCTGGTCCTGTCATCACATTTTTAGATATACTACCCTATGATTGGAGATAAATTCTTTAAACTGAGATGTTTACTCTGCTCTTTCCTGCTGATGAGAATGATCGAATAACCAATAAAATTGGAACAGATATAAGACAGGTTAGTTAATTTTTAAAATATGAATCAAAAATGTTTACAGAGTTCAGTTTATGGACCATAGATTTAAAAACAATCTATTTTTCAGGAGCTGATTGAGGTTAACTAAAGGTGGTTTTTAGAAAGATGCTTTCTTCTGGGTCCTAGCTTCCTATTTGGTTTCATAGAATGATATTTCATCACTTGAACTCATGTCCCTCATAGTTCGAGCAGCTTAGGAAGAGCTAGGTCTGACTCAGAAATGAATTCTAAAGGGTTCATTATTTTCCCCACCAGATGTTTGCTCCTGGTAGAGTGAGACGAATTAAAAACCAGAAACCAGGTGGTTGTCACATCCTGTATGTTTGTCCTTCAGCGACCCCCAACAATCAACCAAAGAAAAACTGCAGAGAAACAAAAAACAACCAAATCTAGAAGCGCAGCAACAACAGAGAGATGCAAAGGACCACTCCAGCTCTTGTAGGTTTGTGCAGATTGTGTTTCAGTTTGTGAAAAATCCCCAGTATTCTGTCACGGTAGTAACAGCACTGGAAAAATAGCTGTGGTGGATACACTTTACCCTGAGTCGCTTCTAAAAGTTTAACAGCTAAAATGGTTATTTCAACTGTTATAACACCAGTTCATTGTAATACCGTAACGTCAAAAGCCTACAACTTTAAGAAAGAGGTCCAAAATTCAGACAAAACTTTTATGAACAGCACTTGGGGATGATGGAGAGGAAGAACTCCCTTTTAACAGGAAGAGACCGCCAACAGAACCAGGCTCAGGGAAGGATGGACTGTCTCGATCAGTTGGAGGTTATTTGGCAGCTTCTAGGCTAATCTTTTACAAATATAACACTAAAGTCCTTCAGTTAGTCTTACAGTGAAGCCAATTTTGCCTAAAAACTATCATTGTTTTGCTAATGGTTGCTCAGTTTAGGATTTATGACAGGAGGTCGTCCTTTGGTGGCAATAACTACATAGATCTTACAAGTGTTTGTAGACAAAGTGGTGGTTAAAGGTGATGCTATCTGGAAACTTCTGCTTGTATGAAGCCAGATATCAGAATGTAAGATATAGTAAATGGTGCTGTAGTACTCGAGGAAAGGGATTTTACCACAACATTTACCCCTTTTAACTAAGTCCATAGAGCCCCATTTATTCTAAGCATCCCCATGAGCGTCCCCATGAAACAGGATGCCCAGAGATTGGAACTCGCGTGGAAATAAGGGACCAACTGAAGAATTGTTACACCCCTAATAATGATGATGATAATAATGATAATAATAATAATATTAAAAACTTTTAAGTGAGTAACTTAGTGAGAAAAACTAGGAAATAAGCAAACCCTGCTCCAGCTATGTGGACCTGACTCACCTTCATCTCCCATTATGCTCTGCTCTCTCCTCCATACCCTGTGTGACTGCCTGTAATGTGTAATGACTTGTGTTAACCATATGACCGTTTTGCTGTTTCAGGCTCCGGGGACGAGTTCAGCTTGACCAAAATCAGCCAATGGGACTTGTTAAAAAGAGACATTCCAAATGTTTATTTTTACCAACGTGTAACATGTTTACTATGGTTTCACTCCAGGGAAAACAATATTTTAATAAGAAACTGTAAAAAAGTAACAATGTAATGAAGCACTTTATATTGAAGCGCTGCAGATTTTAAACCGGCTGATGCATTTTTTCGTAGTGATGTCCTTTTTTATAAAACTCACCCCAACTCATCGCTCACTCTTCAGTTCCTAACAGTTTTCAGCCACTTTTCCGTTTTTTGTCTTAACGTTTGTTCTGGAGACGACCCGCGCATCGCCGACAACAGCTCGTCAACCAAGTCATCAAAGGGGCGGGGCCTGTGGACAGGCGGAACAGCAGCCATAAAACTCCATTTATTTGGTGGATGAGATCTGTCCAGGTCATGCCGAGGCTGTCAGACTCTATGTGGGATGGATCACCACGAGTGTGCGGTTTGGTTTTTTCTACTGTAGTTACTGCTACAACCTGCAAGGTGTGGGTCATGAGACCAGTCATGTGACTCCTTAATGCAGCACCTTCAGTTTGCTGAAGCCTGAAGTTCTCCTGCAGCTAGGAAGGACAACAGAGCTTGTGGAGAAGACGGGGTTAGTGGCTCTTTTTTTAAATCCACCAGACTTGTTTGACAAAAACAGGGATTTTTTTAACACTGAAAATGAGTGTTATTGACCTATTTGTGTGACTTTTGCTTTTTAATGCATTAATTTTGGTCCGAATTAATGCATTATAACACCAAAGCAGCACAATATTACAAACTATTCAATTGTGGCAACAGTAGATGAGTAACTCCTGTGTTCTTTGAGGTAAAATTACTGTTTTTATGAATGGGGTCTGGTGGAGTGTAACAGCTTCAGTTACTTGTTTAAGAAAAGCTGTTTAATATGGGTAAAGTGGAGAAAATCTTGTGTACATAGCAGCTCATGGTTCTTGTTTGTGCATCTGCTTGTGGGCGTGGCCTTCTGCCACCTACTGCAGATAACATATTGACTGTGAACAATGGAAAATAATTTTAAAAGGTTTCCTGACTGATAAATCAATACATTTGAAATCACGCTCTTTTTAAAAAATATCAATCAGTCATTTCAAACACCAAGATATGTATTGTGCATTGCCTAAACATATCAGGACAGAATCTTTGATGCATATCAGACCTATAAATAGCCTATAGAAAACTGTCTCCATCAGTCACATGACTCTCACCTCGTAGGCTGTAACGATCAGCCGAGTCCCCTTGTGGTCGGGGCTCAAAATGGTTTACTGGAGTCAGAGACGGATGCTCCAACAAACAATCACCCGGATCCCACTTCCTGTCCAGAGCCGAAACCGCCATCTCTGAAACCGCCACAAATCAAATTGTTGTTTCCATCGAGAAGACGGTGGGAGATGTGACGGCTGAGTTCAGTCAGCAATAAAAAAAACTGCATCATGTGACCACATCAACAACGACAACAAGTCTTCCTGCTTCCTTTTGTTCAACATGTTCCAGGTTCAATGATTAATTTCGCCTCAGGCAGGAAGTCCGACCAATGGCTCGACTGTAAGAGGTTTGATCTCCTTTTATTGTTCAACAAGGCAACTCATTGGGCAACCTGAGAAAGAAAGGTTGCCCAAAATGTGAGTTTGAGTTATCAGAATGTCTTGAGTCAAGTGCTGAAGAAAGTGAAACTTTTGATTTGAGAGCAACGGTGCTGCCGAGGCAACTGCTTTTCCTGGTTGGCCAATATGTTGCCTTGTTGCACTGCAGGTTAAGCTGTGTGTGAGGCTGAATCCAAGCGTCCTTCCTTCAGACTGAAATACAGACTTAACCCAGATAGCAAACATGTCTGGCCTTATCTGGGCACTTTGGGGACTTACAGCTCAGTTATGTTGTGTAGACTGAACACTCCTATATCATCCCAAATCCTAAATAATTATGATGATCTGCACATGAGTACCTCCCATTGGAAACCTGATTCAAAATGGAGGGAAATTAATGAAGGTTTAGAACCTAATTAGTGCTGCAAATAAAATCCTAAAATTTCCCTCACCAAAACTGAAGCTCAGAACATTTGGACAGTCAGTTAGTACAGAAACCTCACAGCAGCCATATTATTGGTCAGATAATTGCATAAAAAATGCTCCAACAAACACGGTGCAGAGGTCCAGTTCTAACTCCAGTTACTTGAGGTGAAGCCTAGCAGCTAGCTAGTAGCTACAGTCACCTGTATCACTATCCAGCTGTCAGTCAAATAGACCACACCCCTAATTATGCAAACTTCAAGCCTTAATATAATTTAAAGAGGTGAGTTATAAAAACATTCTTGACCTGTAGACGTGTTATGAAGGTGTAAATTATCTATAGAGACAAAAAAAGTTTTTATATAAATTGTAAACATGTTTATTTCTGCTGTAAAGTTTTAACATGGGGGTTTTTTGGGGACTGACTCACTGCTGGAGCCTCCGGTGGATGTTAGAGGAACTGCAGCTTGTGGGCACTTTACCATTTGCATCAGTGGAAACAGAGCAACTTTCATTCACATTATTCAAAAAATGTTGCCTTTACAAGCTGTTTACAGTAAACTGAAGCTGAAGGTGTTTCCATGGAGACATCCTAAGGATGAAGTCTGGAGTTTGGACGTTCTCTGGGTTCAGTCAGTTTAAAGTTTGTTGTGTTCAAACATCGACCTGCTGACATGTTTCTGGTCTGAGTCTGCTGCTGTGACGATGAACATCTGTGTGCAGTTTAACACTTTTTGTTCCTGAGATGTTAATGGGCGCAGCTGATTGGCTCCGACCGGCGGTGTTTAGGCTGCGACTGTTCCCATCATGCACCTCTTCTCTGCCAAACACCTCCTTCACTTTGACAGATAAACCGCTCAGAGAGGCCAAACTGAGGAGCGTCTCCTCCAAACAAAAACAAAACAACCCGACAGATTCACAAGCTGTTGTGGGAAATCTCTCCGTGTGCAGAAAACTGGACCTCAGTCTGACATTCAGCTTTCAATTATTAAGCGCATGTGTGTGAAAAAGCAGCGAGGCTGTGGTCGCCGCACTCGATGCTCCGAGCATGTTAACTAATTGCACTAAAGATGGAGTTCATTCATCACTGACGTCCGTTTGAATTAGCTGTAAAGTATTTTAGATGAACAGTGTTCGTAGCTCAGATATTACCACACACACTTACACTCTCTCTCTCACACACACACACACACATTTATTCATGTTTAAACGTCCCAAAAAGAAAAAACTAAGAGCAATCAAAGGAAATATTTAACTCCTGCTATTCAGATACACTTAGATTAGTTTGGACCATGTGACTGCTGTGCCGGGCAGATTAACCTGACTGCAGATTAACCTGGAACTGAGAAGTTTCATTCCAACATCAGAAAAGTCTGATCATTTCAAGTATTCAGTTAGAATTTGTACAGATACTTATATACAGGACATTTGGAATAATGACAAAAACGAGATGGAAAACAAACGTGGTGATATAAAAACAGTAAAATCCTCATCAGGCTTTAAGTGGTGTGTCTCCTAAAACACAAACAGACTTCACTTTGGGGTATTTTTGTCCAGACATCTCTGCAGAATTGTTTTAATTGAGAAACTTTAGAGGGTTTTCTGGCGTGACCGGCCTGTTTAAGGACTTTATGTAAAAATCATGAACTAACAAAGCAAATTTGTTATTTATTTAACTCTATTTCTTCTTGGAATGAAACATTTCAGCTCCTCTTCCTTGTCTGCTGATTAATTATACGTTTCATTTACCAATTTCAATCCATCCAGTCGGCACGCAGAGGTCAAGCTGCTGCTGAAGGTGTAGG